CGTCAAACCCAAAACCAACCACCTAAAACAGCTCTCAGAAACAGTCAGTCTCTTCTCCATTATCCGAAATCCTCAAAAACTAAGGAGCAAAATGCTATTGGATTTCTCGTAGATTCAAGTTTCACGAATTTCTTTTTCATCTTATTGCTCGGTTTTCATGGCCTCTTTCGTGGAAATCGATCGGTTCAATCTTCTTCCGCTCTCTCTATCTTCGCTTTCCGCCTGCTCATGCCGTCTTTCTCCGAGCAGAACCCTAAGGTTCAGTCGCCGGTTCTCCAAACTCAATCTCCGATTGGTAATTGATGGATCCAAGCGTGTGTTTCCGATTCGCCAGGCGCGCGTTTACACCAACCGCCGCGTTATCACGGCCCTGGTTCGAGCCGAGCAGGACCGACTCGACGAGGACAATGCTAAGGAGGTAATAATTAAAATTATGTCTCTAGTCGTATTGATTTCGGTTTTATCGTGCTCGATTTGTTTCTGCTGCGTAGTTTGGAGAGCAAGGAATGAAAGTTGTTTACTGTTTGAAAGATTTGGAAAAATATTCGAGTTATGAAGGTTTTTGTAGTGATTCAGAGATAGCTAACTACTAAAGATTATAAAAGAATGATGTGAAAGTTGCAAGAATGTGTGTTTGAGAACATGGATGAAGAACTGTTACCATTTTCTGGACGTAGTTATAGGGAATCATTAATTGCTTTCATAATTAGTATTATTATGATTAAGTTAGGAAGTAGTCATATAAATGATGAATGCTATGTTGTCAGTCCAACTTCTGTGCCATTGATGAATTGCAGTTGTCATTACGGCTGTAATTGAAGATTGTAATCAACTTGAATTTAGTTTCCCTTTTGTCTTCTAGTTCTTTTTGAGTATGCAATTGGTTGGTAAGAGGATGGAATTACTGAAATGGCTGTGTTGTAGGAAGTTGGTGAAGGCCAAATGTTATCAACAACAGAAGATGCTGTTTCTGATCGTAAACAGAAAGCCAGTCAGTTAAGGAAAAGGATCTTTTTTGGTCTTGGCATTGGAATTTCTGTTGGAGCTATTGTATTGGCTGGTGGATGGGTTTTCACAGTGTCCCTGGCTGCTGCTGTTTTTGTTGGCGCACGTGAATATTTTGAGCTGGTTCGGAGTCGTGGAATCACTTCCGGAATGACACCTCCTCCACGATATGTGTCACGAGTTTGCTCTGTTATCTGTGCTCTCATGCCGATACTTACTTTGTAAGATTGGTGAATATGCCTTATGCTTTCTGATAATAGCATAACCTCAATAATGATCATTGTGGTTTTTTTGAACTTATGGTATTGTGAGATTCGTTGGTGATATTTGGCTTTTAACTGTCTTTAATTTTGAGTATTATTTCTCATCAAGAGTTTTTCATTATGCCTGCAAAGTAGTTATTCATACATCATGTGGCAAGTAAACCTTCTAGTTAAAGTAGTTACTAAATGTAAACTTAAGATGCCTTCCTCTCCTCTATTACCCCCAGCAACAGAGTCTTTAAATTATCTGGTGTACTAGCTTGTTTTAATTTGCTAGAGCAAATAGTTTTGGAAAATCTTGTTGCTTTTGGTTTCCGTGGAAGTACTTATTAATGTTAATGATATATGTCATCAGGTACTTTGGCAATATTGATGTTTCAGTGACATCTGCTGCATTTGTTGTTGCTACGGCATTGCTCTTACAGAGAGGGAATCCTCGTTTTGCTCAGCTCAGCAGTTGCATGTTTGGGCTGTTTTATTGTGGTTACCTACCTTGTTTCTGGGTCAAGCTTCGATGTGGTTTAGCAGCTCCTGCCCTTAATACTAGTAAGAAGCTGGATTTTATAGTTTTCTGATGGTACTTTTGAATATTAACAGACTTGCTAAAGTAGGGATAACTTTGCCTTTTTGTCAAATTAGAACCAAAAGACTTGTGTTCTAAATTAGCAAAGCTAGGCTGTTATTTTCAATTATATGTATTATGGATCATCTTTATTTCTCTACATGACAATGCATTTGTCCCATTTTTCCCCCTAACTAGGTACCACATTCCTTATGGTCGAAGAAAAATGGAGGTTTTATAATTTCTGCAAACCATAACTTTGTAAGTGCTTGTGTTTGTCAGGATTTGGTGCAGCATGGCCCTTTCTTCTTGGTGGCCGAGCTCATTGGACAGTGGGTCTTGTGGCAACCTTGATTTCCATTAGTTGCATAATTGCAGCCGATACATATGCTTTTGTGGGTGGCAAGGTAGGCATGCTTCTAAAATTTGATCAAGTGGACCTCTTTTCTCTCTTGATTATAATTGCAACATTCCATAAACATTAATTATTACAATGTTGATTCCAACAGAGTATACTTTGTTTTTCTGGAAATGGGTAGTCATGAAATTACCTTATTAGTTACCATTATGTGTTGCTAAACTCTTAACCCATCTAAATCAAATCAGCTACTTTGGTATCCACTAATTAACATTGGACTATTAAATTGTGTTTTAAATTTTGCATCTGTGAATGTTTCTACTTTATGTGCAAATTGTAATTCAAGAAAGCTGTCCTTTTTTCCAAAATAAATGCCAAATATTTCAATTTTTAACAATGCAAGATTCAAGAGATGTATCTTTGTTTGAAGACTAGCTGAATTTTAAGTATACTGTGTTTATCATTCTTCAGCTGAATATCAAAACATTCCCATGATTTAAACATCATGAGGACCTCTTTCAAGCAACATATGTGGTAGGCATATCTGTCTGAAACTTGTGTTCTTCCACTCAAATGCAGGCCATAGGTCGGACTCCACTTACTAACATTAGCCCAAAGAAAACATGGGAGGGAACTTTTGTTGGTTTGGGTGGATGTATAGCAACTTCTGTTGTGTTGTCAAAGATTTTTAGCTGGCCAACATCTTTGCTTGGGTATGTGATCTTCCTCTTTGTCTATTGTTTTGAAATTTTTAGTTTCATGCATTTAACATATCTTTTGAATGTTTCTCAGTGCAATTGCTTTTGGGTTTCTGAACTTCTTTGGATCTGTTTTTGGAGATCTTACTGAGTCGATGATCAAACGTGATGCTGGTGTCAAGGACTCTGGTTCCCTAATACCTGGGCATGGTAAGTAACTGAACATCAGCCATTGGATTAATTTTCTAATACACTAACAGTGGGCAACAACTTCACTTATTCTGTATATTTGAAAAGTATTATACCTGACATCCTTTTGGTGGAATGGTGGGCTGGAACTGGAATAACATAAATATCCTGTTGATATTATATGTTCTCCAGGATTTCTCCATTTCTGTTTTTCCCATTATCTTTACATGATATATGAGTGCTTAGTTCTTTTTCTTTTTCAATGACTACTCGTTATTACTGTTTCTGGTTTTTGGCCCTCATGATTGTAGTCTTTCTCATTGCCGGTCTTTCTGACTTTTAACTAAAAATTGTCTACTGGATAACTCCAGTTGCATTGGACCTAATCTCTCTCACTTCAGCATGACCATACTGTGGCTCTTAGTCACATGGAGGAAAATTCTATTATATCTATGTGTGCTGTCATCTATCTCTTGTTAACTTTCTGGAAACTGTTTCTTATATAATTTTATTAACCTTGCAGGTGGCATACTTGACAGGGTGGATAGCTACATTTTCACAGGTGCCCTTGCATACTCTTTTGTCAAAACCATCTTACCACTCTATGGTGTTTGAGAAAATTTTGATTAAGAATGAGCAAAAATAGCAAAGGGAAATCCATTGGTTTTAGTGTGCTGGAGGAGTACAAAAACTGTAAATGAGCAAAATTCTTGTCTCAAGAATTGCCAAGAAGGGAGTTGCAGATGGTTTTGCGTCTCGACGACGGGTGCATCAAGCATTGCTGTTCTTGAGAATTCTCATTTTCTTGTAGTCTTCTTGTCTGGAGATCAAGTCCTTCACCGGCCAATCAGACCTTGTGGATCAATCTCTACAGCAATGGCTGTCACTGGTACGTTCACCATAGCCTTAAAGATTTATTTTTTTAATATATAATTTGTTGTAGAAAGAAATATTGAAGTTTCAATTCCAATTAAAATAAATTGTAATTGATCTCTGAATTATTGAATCAATAGCTCCAGACACCTTTAATTTTTTTTGTTGGGTATGTTCCTTCCTTTTAGCACGGAAAAGCACACTGAACTTGACTTGGAAAGCTCTCTTTCAAACCCAAAACTAAAACCTTCGAGCTACCTGGATTTCACATGGCAACGACTAACATGGGATCTTGTCTTTTTGTCCTTGTCTATTCTTGAAAACATGACCACATTACAAGTATGATATTGAGTTAATCATAATTATCTTGGTGGTTAGGATATTGAATTGATGTCACTCTTCCATCCTGTCGGTTCCATCACTAATATCAAGCCTTATTAGTAGATTAAGACCTAACATCAACCACCATTAATTAACTAACAGAAACAACTAGACAAGATATGGGAAGAATTAATTAATTAACTAGTTTTTTAATTTTGATCTCACGTCTTATCTTAATTTATAAGTATTTTATTTTACCGTTTAAATTATATTGAATTGTAAAATATAAATCATTATACGAGAAACAATCTCTAATATCAAATATCAAAGAATCAACACTTCATTTAACAATTTATGTTGTAAAGTTTAATTAACATGATATTTTTTATTTTTTTGTTGATTACATAATGAGAGAACAAATTTTGGTTCTCACATTCTTCCTTCACCAGGGCGACCATGAAAGGCCTTATTGTTGACGACCGTAGTGCAGGAAATGAAATTCATATTGATCATGGATGGTCAACTCATGGTTGCGTAAGTTCATTTTATAAAATTAGTGTTGGGGATGGAAAATTAATGTCACCTCTTTTCTTCCTTTGCCAAAAGAACTTAAAAAATGTAATCGACGAAAGGCTCCACCAAATCCAATTAATTCTCGAGGTACTTGGCACCATAACTGCAGAAAGACATGCCTATAATACGAGGCTCTAAAGCCTTATTGATTTCACGTGGATTTGTCTCTTTATATTTATCTATTGCGTATACTTGGATCATTTTCATTTCTAGCAATGACAAATGGCAATTCAAAAGACTAAATCAAAATGTCTGTCCCTTTGTTCTTTTCCATCCTCCTTTTTTTTTTTTTTCCCCTTCTTTCTTTCTTTCTTTCTTTCTCTCTTTCTTTTACTTTTGCTTCTTATGGTCCATGCATCCTCGGATCATACTTTGGAAACTTATACTGTTCTCTTCTAATTTTTGTTTATTTGAAATTTTCTACATATGAAGCCCTAAAATAAATAAACTCATATATATATATATATATATATTAATTTGCTTTTAGGAAAATGAAGAAGGAAAGAACCCGAGAAAGAATTAAACATTTAGAATAAACCAAAGAGTCCTATTTTGGAGAAATTAATAACGACCATAAAAAAAAGAATTATTATAAAAAAAATGGAAAGAATATATGAAAAAGACATGAGAAGTCATCAACAAATGTTGGGTTGACCTTTAATTAGTTTTTCCAAGAAAACAAAAAGGAAATAAGAGAAGAAAGAGATATAGGATAAAAAGAAACAAAACCCATGTTTGGAAGGTAGCCAGCCAAGTCACCCATGTAAAGTCCTGTGGAGCCAAAACTCCACCAAAATATATATGAAACCAATTGAAGTGTTAATGGAGGGCCTACCATATTGCTTTTGACAACCATGAGTGCTTACTTTTGGGTATTTGGCATAAAAGAGGAAAAAAAATAGAGGGGAAAAAATGTGTGGGATGCAAAGAATGCGTTGTTTCTAAGCAGACTAATGAAATGGAGAAGAAAAGGATAGATAGATTGACATAGATAAATAGATAGAAAATAAAAATAAAAACAAATGAAGGAAACTTAAAGAAGATATGGTGGGCAAGCATCTCTTAAAGTTAAGAAAGATCAAAAGATATATTGTTGATGAGGAAAACCCTTACTTTTGATGCACACGCACACCCACGTCCCTCACATCAGCCCCCCCACCTCACCATTCTGCCTTTTGCTTTTCTTATATATCACTTTTTCTTAGCCATTGCCTTGGATGCTCACAAGGTTTCTTTCTTTCTTTCTTTCTTTTGTTCTTTTTTTCTGGATTTTCTTATTTAATGTTTCCTAATTTCTTTTTATGGCTTATGAATAATGAATCTTTTGGGTTAAAAGACCATAATCATTGTCCTTTACATTAATCAAAGCAAAAATTTTCAAATATCATAAGAGATCATGGAAATATGATATGTATAACTAAATAATCATGTTAAATTGGGATTATATAGGGTTCGTGAAACATGTTTCATATGTAAGACATTGCTTCACTACTAAGGAAATGCCGGAGAAAGGAATATATCAGGAGATTGTAATCCTCTAAAAAAATTTTGGGACCTCTTTACAGCTTGTCATAAGCAATCAAGATACGTTGCAAGGATCTAACAAAACTACTGTTGAAGAATACATGCATTTTAATGATTTGGGAATCATGATTCGATAAAAAGAACAATACATAGATTATTTAAATCCAAACAAAAGTCCTAAATTAGCATTCCAATGCATCAAAAGAATAAGGGTTAATTTTCTCTTCTTCCCAGCAAAACCTACACAAAAAGAAGAAAGTTTTTATGGGTTTCTGATTTTCTCAACCTTTTTGATATATTCTTCTTCTTTAACCATGCAAAGGGTCCCATTTGTTTTCTCTATGTTTGTTTGTAAACCCAAGACAAAAAATTGTTTACGTTTACATTTTTTAGAGAAAGAGCACTGGTAGTTGAATTAGGCTTTATGCTCACTAATTAGGTAGTGACGCACCAAGAAACATTTTTGAACTTTGGAGAAGACAAAAGCTGGCAAATGGTGTCTCGAGTCTTTAAGCATATCTTTGTTCTTGAAATTGAACAGATAGTGCGATCATACAAAATCCTCTCCCTCACTCCTAGGAGGCTTCTTCAAGACAAAAGTGCTTACCTCATACATTTTCTCTAATGGAAAAAGTTGTTTATCATTATACTTTCAAGGGAAGGATAATTCTTTAGAGCTTCAAAAAAAAAGTCTGTCACTTTTATGGCCTTCCATATCTAGAAGATGCCTAAATTACAGTTCTCTCTCATCTTTCTCTTCTTCCCCAGAATCTGCTTTCCACTGTTGAGGTGACTAAAGCCAACAAATGGCAGGTCCATCAAGGAGAGAGAGGGCCGAGGCTTTGAATTTGGTTTTTGTGAGAATGATAAGGGAGAAAGCCACTTTTCCATGCATTTGCTTATGTTATTTCATTTTCAAAATAGTCAAATTGAGAAAAAAAAATTATACCATAGTTGAAATAACTCACTTAAGCCTATTATTCATTGACATAACAATTACTCTTTATGTTAAAATTTGCATAGTATTAATTATTTATAAATCAATTATAATTACACTATAATATATCTCAATGTAAAATTCAAGACATCCCAATGATACATATATATATATATATATTTAAAAACAGATCAATTCATTATCTTTTGAATATATTACATCCTACTAGCTAGGGTTAAATTGCCCTGTTTAACTCCCATTTTCTGTACAAGTACTCATTACCTCGGCGAGGAACTTTTCCTTTGGTTCATGAGAGCTACTCGATTGGAAGCTCAAAGTATATGTGGGGTCGGCTTCAATTTAGTGGAAGGCAAGAGCTCCATCTCTTCCATGTTCGTACCATACTACAGTATGGAGACATCCCCTCAAACGAGAAAATGACACTACATTTGCTTTTAAAAAATTCCATTTATGGATAAGAAAAGAAAATTCTTTTTGTTCCTACGTACACACCATAAACTTTTTTTTCTATCATGATCATTTATTAAGCATGGGTAATTAATCTTTCAATATTAATTAATGCATGCTTCCAATTTCCAAAGAGACCCACGTTGAAGCAAACCATGTCCCTTACCCTATATATAATATGACTTAAACTTAATCAAAACTCCTACTTTAGAAGAGAAATTATGATTATGAGTCTATGACTAACCTACTAACTCATTAATTAGCCCAAATCATGTTAAGAGAGCAAATTAAGATTTCCAATGTTCCACTCTTTATGTGTGCATGGTAGGTTAGTGTTGTTTTCACTAACTTGAGGAAACGTAAACTAAAAGAAAATGATTTCCTCGAATCACAAGGACTAAACGTTTCTAAAACCATTTCCTTGTGGACTTTTCTCAACTTTTGGAAATCAGAATCTTCAGAAGGGATGGTTTCCAAGTCACAAGAGGGAGAACTGTGGTTGTACATTGCATGTGTCGACATTAATTAATATTCGGGAAAAGAAATATATATATATATATATATATATGATATTAGAGTTTATTAGTTAAATTTATAAAAATAATTAAAATTACATTATTTTAATAATGTATTACAAAACAAAAGATTAAAATGATCATATTCGTGACTTAAAATATAAATATTTTAGTTATTTTGAATGAATATCAATTAAAAAATTATAATTTAAAGATTATTTTTCACGCAACTTTTAGTAAATACATTGGTAACATTTTTTTCCAATATACAGTAGTGAGAGTGAAAAAAATGATAATAATAATAATAACAAGACAAAAACTAGTGAATTACCCAACCCCCATTAACTTGAATGGAAACAAGAAACTAGTTTTGGAACACATTACACTTTTTTTGTTAATTCCATTAATTTTTGTTTCTACAAAGTTACATTTCCATAATTTTGGTGTTGGAATTTAATTTAATTTCGCTTTCACTAATGACGAAAGACTACGTCGTCCTCCTACACACCCAAAAATATGTGATTGAATGCAGCCTTTTGAGAAAAAAAAGAAAAAGAAAAAAGAAACCCAAAATAAATAAATAAGAGAAAAATCAAAATTCCTCCCCCCCCACATCACATTCACTGTACTCCCTCTTTTGTGCATCACACACTTTTGAATAATCAGACGGTACCTCTTCAAAATTAGCATCAATCCAACGGCCATGGTTTCTCTATCTCTTTTTTGTTTTTTGACAGAGACATTTCAGTATGGAGGTCTGCATCTGATCGAGAGTGAACACACACATATATATATGTGTGGGTTTTTTTAGCCTGATTAAGAGTCTTAAAAAATAAAAAATAATATTTAATTTATTAATTATTTAATTAAATTTTTTTACATGATATTAATTTTAATATTAATATTTATTTTTATAAATTTTTACATAAATTTATTATAAAAAAATATTTTTAATTTATATTTTAAAAATATATATTAAAAAAATCATATGTATATATATATGATTATCTACTATGACTACTGCGACAGGCAACCCATACGGAGAGGTCTGCATTATTTATGTCCGTAGATTTCAGATAAAAAAGCTGCACCTGATCAGACCGTACACGTGGCGTGACGTACGATTACGACATTTCCTTTTCTGGGTCCCGCCTCTGAAAGTGGAGAAGTTGCTGTCGTTTTCACAGTCTCGCTGTGCCGCACACATGAGACAATCGGTCAAGATCGTTTCGATTTTTTTTCTTTTTTTTTCTTTTCTTCTTCTTTTATTTTTTTATTTTTTTGTTTTTTCAAGGAACATGCATGTATGCAACATGCATGCATGCAACAGGTATGCATGCATGTATGTTGAGTAAAATGAAATCCAACCAAGAAATCGTTTTTCATTGGATGATTTTAAAAACTTTAACATGGGTCCCACTACAGTCCTCCATTGCGTGCCTTCCACGTGTGCCCTGTGCCGATCCCTGCAGCACACTCCTCCTTTGGTCCGTATGTTGCACGTTAACAAAACTTTTCTATTATTATTATTATTTTACTTTACTTATATAAAGAAAAATAACTTTTTATTTTTTTGAAATCTTTATATACAATTTAAGATTTAAATTTAAAATTTTTAACTATTAAATTCATAGTACTATTTTTTGGTTTTAGCCAAATTACATGGTAGTACCATTAGTATTGATTAATTTTAAACATAATAATAACTAAAAAATAATAATAATATAGTTTAAATTGTATAA